TAGGAAGAGTTATTATGGATCATAGACTCGTATTTTAGTTAAAAGAGTCTTAATGATGGATTTGTTTCAGCTTTTGTCTTCTCCAGATGTTAACTGATGGACTGGAGTGCTGTGGATTATTGTGATGTTTATATCAGCTGTTTGGACTCTCATTCTGACGGCACCCATTCACTGCAGAGCATCCATTGCTGAGACACTGATGCAGTGCTACATTTCTCCAAATCTGATGAAGAGACAAACTCATCCTAATCTTGGATGGCCTGAGAGTGGGGACATTTACAGCAAATTTTCATTTTTATGTGAACTGCTTTAACTTCTCAGATTTCCATTCTCAGTTTGTAATTCAATTCCTTCAATCTCAATTTATGTCATGGACATTCTTTTTTTTTTTTGTTGCTGTAGTGTTTTTTACTTTCTTGTGGAATTTTAGGAGAACAATCTGACACAAAATTAAATTTTAAATGAAAAATAAGGGCCCTTGAATCCTGTATTGTGATAGATTGCACTTCAAATCCCTCCTCAAGGACTCCTTAAGTGAAACTAGTGCAATAAAAAATAGAGAGAAAAAAAAAGAGAAAATATATGGAAATTGTGTGTGGGGGAAAATCTCTGCCATTAGGCTGATTTTCGCAGCTACAGTCGCCTGTATGTAATTATGTAGACAGAATTTTGCACTTGTTAGCTGATTTTTCAAAGTAGGACAGTCAAACAAACAGCCTCCGAAACCCACAGACTTACAGCAGCATTATTCAGAGCGACTGAGATAATTCTCCCTTTATTCTGACAGTCTGGCTTGTCCGCCGAGAGCCAGTGTCGCTGTACATGACCCAGCTGCCTGGCACATTAGGAAAATGACCATAAACGTGCTGTTTACGCTGCAAGCGTCTTCCTTCGGCTCAGACGCTGAACAAACGCTCTGCTGCTAACATCTCGCTTTCTCCATTTCACCGCTGAGGAATGGAAAGAATTACATGTCTTGCATGTTTAATGTGCCTTTTTTATTGCAGCCAGAAACTTGCGTAT